GTGTGTGTTATGTGATGAGCAGGTAGGTCAGTGTGTGTTATGTGATGAGCAGGTAGGTCAGTGTGTGTTATGTGATGAGCAGGTAGGTCAGTGTGTTATGTGATGAGCAGGTAGGTCAGTGTGTGTTATGTGATGAGCAGGTAGGTCAGTGTGTGTTATGTGATGAGCAGGTAGGTCAGTGTGTGTTATGTGATGAGCAGGTAGGTCAGTGTGTGTTATGTGATGAGCAGGTAGGTCAGTGTGTTTATGTGATGAGCAGGTAGGTCAGTGTGTGTTATGTGATGAGCAGGTAGGTCAGTGTGTGTTATGTGATGAGCAGTGTGTGTGTTATGTGATGAGCAGGTAGGTCAGTGTGTGTTATGTGATGAGCAGGTAGGTCAGTGTGTGTTATGTGATGAGCAGGTAGGTCAGTGTGTTTATGTGATGAGCAGGTAGGTCAGTGTGTGTTATGTGATGAGCAGGTAGGTCAGTGTGTTATGTGATGAGCAGGTAGGTCAGTGTGTTATGTGATGAGCAGGTAGGTCAGTGTGTGTTATGTGATGAGCAGGTAGGTCAGTGTGTTTATGTGATGAGCAGGTAGGTCAGTGTGTGTTATGTGATGAGCAGGTAGGTCAGTGTGTTATGTGATGAGCAGGTAGGTCAGTGTGTGTTATGTGATGAGCAGGTAGGTCAGTGTGTGTTATGTGATGAGCAGGTAGGTCAGTGTGTTATGTGATGAGCAGGTAGGTCAGTGTGTTTATGTGATGAGCAGGTAGGTCAGTGTGTTATGTGATGAGCAGGTAGGTCAGTGTGTGTTATGTGATGAGCAGGTAGGTCAGTGTGTGTTATGTGATGAGCAGGTAGGGTAGTGTGTTATGTGATGAGCAGGTAGGTCAGTGTGTGTTATGTGATGAGCAGGTAGGTCAGTGTGTGTTATGTGATGAGCAGGTAGGTCAGTGTGTTTATGTGATGAGCAGGTAGGTCAGTGTGTTATGTGATGAGCAGGTAGGTCAGTGTGTGTTATGTGATGAGCAGGTAGGTCAGTGTGTGTTATGTGATGAGCAGGTAGGTCAGTGTGTGTTATGTGATGATGGTAGCAGGTATGTGATGAGTGGTAGGTCAGTATGTGATGAGCAGGTAGGTCAGTGTGTGTTATGTGATGAGCAGGTAGGTCAGTGTGTTATGTGATGAGCAGGTAGGTCAGTGTGTGTTATGTGATGAGCAGGTAGGTCAGTGTGTGTTATGTGATGAGCAGGTAGGTCAGTGTGTTATGTGATGAGCAGGTAGGTCAGCGTGTGTTATGTGATGAGCAGGTAGGGTTAGTGTGTGTTATGTGATGAGCAGGTAGGGTTAGTGTGTTATGTGATGAGCAGGTAGGTCAGTGTGTTATGTGATGAGCAGGTAGGTCAGTGTGTGTTATGTGATGAGCAGGTAGGTCAGTGTGTGTTATGTGATGAGCAGGTAGGTCAGTGTGTGTTATGTGATGAGCAGGTAGGGCAGTGTGTTATGTGATGAGCAGGTAGGTCAGTGTGTTATGTGATGAGAAGGTAGGTCAGTGTGTGTGTTATGTGATGAACAGGTAGGTCAGTGTGTGTTATGTGATGAGCAGGTAGGTCAGTGTGTGTTATGTGATGAGCAGGTAGGTCAGTGTGTGTTATGTGATGAGCAGGTAGGTCAGTGTGTGTTATGTGATGAGCAGGTAGGTCAGTGTGTGTTATGTGATGAGCAGGTAGGTCAGTGTGTGTTATGTGATGAGCAGGTAGGTCAGTGTGTTTATGTGATGAGCAGGTAGGTCAGTGTGTGTTATGTGATGAGCAGGTAGGTCAGTGTGTGTTATGTGATGAGCAGGTAGGTCAGTGTGTGTTATGTGATGAGCAGGTAGGTCAGTGTGTGTTATGTGATGAGCAGGTAGGTCAGTGTGTGTTATGTGATGAGCAGGTAGGTCAGTGTGTTTATGTGATGAGCAGGTAGGTCAGTGTGTGTTATGTGATGAGCAGGTAGGTCAGTGTGTTATGTGATGAGCAGGTAGGTCAGTGTGTGTTATGTGATGAGCAGGTAGGTCAGTGTGTGTTATGTGATGAGCAGGTAGGTCAGTGTGTGTTATGTGATGAGCAGGTAGGTCAGTGTGTTATGTGATGAGCAGGTAGGTCAGTGTGTGTTATGTGATGAGCAGGTAGGTCAGTGTGTGTTATGTGATGATGAGGTCAGGTAGGTCAGGTAGGTGTGTGTTATGTGATGAGCAGGTAGGTCAGTGTGTGTTATGTGATGAGCAGGTAGGTCAGTGTGTGTTATGTGATGAGCAGGTAGGTCAGTGTGTGTTATGTGATGAGCAGGTAGGTCAGTGTGTGTTATGTGATGAGCAGGTAGGTCAGTGTGTGTTATGTGATGAGCAGGTAGGTCAGTGTGTGTTATGTGATGAGCAGGTAGGTCAGTGTGTGTTATGTGATGAGCAGGTAGGTCAGTGTGTGTTATGTGATGAGCAGGTAGGTCAGTGTGTGTTATGTGATGAGCAGGTAGGTCAGTGTGTGTTATGTGATGAGCAGGTAGGTCAGTGTGTGTTATGTGATGAGCAGGTAGGTCAGTGTGTGTTATGTGATGAGCAGGTAGGTCAGTGTGTGTTATGTGATGAGCAGGTAGGTCAGTGTGTGTTATGTGATGAGCAGGTAGGTCAGTGTGTGTTATGTGATGAGCAGGTAGGTCAGTGTGTGTTATGTGATGAGCAGGTAGGTCAGTGTGTGTTATGTGATGAGCAGGTAGGTCAGTGTGTGTTATGTGATGAGCAGGTAGGTCAGTGTGTGTTATGTGATGAGCAGGTAGGTCAGTGTGTGTTATGTGATGAGCAGGTAGGTCAGTGTGTGTTATGTGATGAGCAGGTAGGTCAGTGTGTGTTATGTGATGAGCAGGTAGGTCAGTGTGTGTTATGTGATGAGCAGGTAGGTCAGTGTGTGTTATGTGATGAGCAGGTAGGTCAGTGTGTGTTATGTGATGAGCAGGTAGGTCAGTGTGTGTTATGTGATGAGCAGGTAGGTCAGTGTGTGTTATGTGATGAGCAGGTAGGTCAGTGTGTGTTATGTGATGAGCAGGTAGGTCAGTGTGTGTTATGTGATGAGCAGGTAGGTCAGTGTGTGTTATGTGATGAGCAGGTAGGTCAGTGTGTGTTATGTGATGAGCAGGTAGGTCAGTGTGTGTTATGTGATGAGCAGGTAGGTCAGTGTGTGTTATGTGATGAGCAGGTAGGTCAGTGTGTGTTATGTGATGAGCAGGTAGGTCAGTGTGTGTTATGTGATGAGCAGGTAGGTCAGTGTGTTATGTGATGAGCAGGTAGGTCAGTGTGTGTTATGTGATGAGCAGGTAGGTCAGTGTGTGTTATGTGATGAGCAGGTAGGTCAGTGTGTGTTATGATGAGCAGGTAGGTCAGTGTGTTATGTGATGAGCAGGTAGGTCAGTGTGTGTTATGTGATGAGCAGGTAGGTCAGTGTGTGTTATGTGATGAGCAGGTAGGTCAGTGTGTGTTATGTGATGAGCAGGTAGGTCAGTGTGTGTTATGTGATGAGCAGGTAGGTCAGTGTGTGTTATGTGATGAGCAGGTAGGTCAGTGTGTGTTATGTGATGAGCAGGTAGGTTAGTGTGTGTTATGTGATGAGCAGGTAGGTCAGTGTGTGTTATGTGATGAGCAGGTAGGTTAGTGTGTGTTATGTGATGAGCAGGTAGGTCAGTGTGTGTTATGTGATGAGCAGGTAGGTTAGTGTGTGTTATGTGATGAGCAGGTAGGTCAGTGTGTGTTATGTGATGAGCAGGTAGGTCAGTGTGTCTTATGTGATGAGCAGGTAGGTGATGAGCAGTTAGTGTGTTTATGTGATGAGCAGGTAGGTCAGTGTGTGTTATGTGATGAGCAGGTAGGTCAGTGTGTGTTATGTGATGAGAAGGTAGGTCAGTGTGTGTGTTATGTGATGAGCAGGTAGGTCAGTGTGTCTTATGTGATGAGCAGGAAGGTCAGTGTGTGTGTTATGTGATGAACAGGTAGGTCAGTGTGTGTGTTATGTGATGAGCAGGTAGGTCAGTGTGTGTTATGTGATGAGCAGGTAGGTCAGTGTGTGTTATGTGATGAGCAGGTAGGTCAGTGTGTGTTATGTGATGAGCAGGTAGGTCAGTGTGTGTTATGTGATGAGCAGGTAGGGTTAGTGTGTTATGTGATGAGCAGGTAGGTCAGTGTGTGTTATGTGATGAGCAGGTAGGTCAGTGTGTTATGTGATGAGCAGGTAGGTCAGTGTGTGTTATGTGATGAGCAGGTAGGTCAGTGTGTGTTATGTGATGAGCAGGTAGGTCAGTGTGTGTTATGTGATGAGCAGGTAGGTCAGTGTGTTATGTGATGTGATGAGCAGGTAGTGATCAGGTAGGTCAGTGTGTGTTATGTGATGAGCAGGTAGGTCAGTGTGTGTTATGTGATGAGCAGGTAGGTCAGCGTGTGTTATGTGATGAGCAGGTAGGTCAGTGTGTTATGTGATGAGCAGGTAGGTCAGTGTGTGTTATGTGATGAGCAGGTAGGTCAGTGTGTGTTATGTGATGAGCAGGTAGGTCAGTGTGTGTTATGTGATGAGCAGGTAGGTCAGCGTGTGTTATGTGATGAGCAGGTAGGTCAGTGTGTGTATGTGATGAGCAGGTAGGTCAGTGTGTGTTATGTGATGAGCAGGTAGGTCAGTGTGTGTTATGTGATGAGCAGGTAGGTCAGTGTGTGTTATGTGATGAGCAGGTAGGTCAGTGTGTGTTATGTGATGAGCAGGTAGGTCAGTGTGTGTTATGTGATGAGCAGGTAGGTCAGTGTGTGTTATGTGATGAGCAGGTAGGTCAGTGTGTGTTATGTGATGAGCAGGTAGGTCAGCGTGTGTTATGTGATGAGCAGGTAGGTCAGTGTGTTATGTGATGAGCAGGTAGGTCAGTGTGTGTTATGTGATGAGCAGGTAGGTCAGTGTGTGTTATGTGATGAGCAGGTAGGTCAGTGTGTGTTATATGATGAGCAGGTAGGTCAGCGTGTGTTATGTGATGAGCAGGTAGGGTTAGTGTGTGTTATGTGATGAGCAGGTAGGTCATCACCAGGACTGACCTGGGGACATGTTTAGTGCAGCAGTAGTTACTGGTCATCACCAGGACTGACCTGGGGACATGTTTAGTGCAGCTGTAGTTACTGGTCATCACCAGGACTGACCTGGGGACATGTTTAGTGCAGCAGTTGTTACTGGTCATCACCATGAGTGACCTGGGGACATGTTTAGTGCAGCAGTAGTTACTGGTCATCACCATGAGTGACCTGGGGACATGTTTAGTGCAGCGGTAGTTACTGGTCATCACCAGGACTGACCTGGGGACATGTTTAGTGCAGCAGTAGTTACTGGTCATCACCATGACTGACCTGGGGACATGTTTAGTGCAGCAGTAGTTACTGGTCATCACCAGGACTGACCTGGGGACACGCAGTAGTTACTGGTCATCAACTAACCTGGGTGGGTTGTTCGCGCAAGTCTCACCACCCATGGAGAGGTACAGTGTTTCATTCTTCAGGTATGGGTACTCCATCGCCTTGTTAACGTACGTGCCGAAATCCGTGTCTGAGGCGAGGAAGCAGTCGTTATGTTGGCCGATCCTCGCTACCTGCCCCCCACAACGGTACAATGATCAGTTCTTCATGCACTCTTACTCATCGTAGAATATATTATATATTTATATAATAACAAGTAACAATATTGTTTTATGATAAAATTTCTGAAGTTCTCCCTGTCAATGTGTGAGATAGTTGTAGTTGTCTGACCTAGTGATTGTTGTCTGAACTAGTGATTGTTGTCTGAACTAGTGATTGTTGTCTGAACTAGTGATTGTTGTCTGAACTAGTGATTGTTGTCTGAACTAGTGATTGTTGTCTGAACTAGTGATTGTTGTCTGAACTAGTGATTGTTGTCTGAACTAGTGTTTATTGTCTGAACTAGTGATTGATGTCTGCACTAGCGAATGTTGTCTGCAATCGTGATTGTTAGCTTCACTAGTGATTGTTTTCTGCACTAGAGATTGTTGTCTGCACTAGTGATGGTGTGGTTGTCTGCACTAGTGATTGTGTGGTTGTCTACACTAGTGATTGTGTGGTTATCTACACTAGTGATGGATGCTGATGTCTGCATTCTATTGGATGACTGTTAGGTGTGTTCTTCAAGCAGGACGAGTGGGTGACTGTTGGGGGTGTTCTACAAGCAGGACGAGTGGGTGACTGTTAGGTGTGTTCTTCAAGCAAGACGAGTGGGTGACTATTAGGTGTGTTCTTCAAGCAGGACGAGTGGGTGACTGTTAGGTGTGTGCTTCAAGCAGGACGAGTGGGTGACTGTTGGGTGTGTTCTACAAGCAGGACGAGTGGGTGACTATTAGGTGTGTTCTACAAGCAGGACGAGTGGGTGACTGTTGGGTGTGTTCTACAAGCAGGACGAGTGGGTGACTATTAGGTGTGTTCTACAAGCAGGACGAGTGGGTGACTATTAGGTGTGTTCTACAAGCAGGACGAGTGGGTGACTATTAGGTGTGTTCTACAAGCAGGACGAGTGGGTGACTATTAGGTGTGTTCTACAAGCAGGACGAGTGGGTGACTGTTGGGTGTGTTCTACAAGCAGGACGAGTGGGTGACTGTTGTGTGTGCTCTACAAGCAGGACGAGTGGGTGACTGTTGGGTGTGTTCTACAAGCAAGACGAGTGGGTGACTATTAGGTGTGTTCTACAAGCAGGACGAGTGGGTGACTGTTGTGTGTGCTCTACAAGCAGGACGAGTGGGTGACTATTAGGGGTGTTCTACAAGTAGGACGAGTGGGTGACTGTTAGGTGTGTTCTACAAGCAGGACGAGTGGGTGACTATTAGGGGTGTTCTTCAAGCAGGACGAGTGGGTGACTGTTGGGTATGTTCTACAAGCAAGACGAGTGGGTGACTGTTAGGTGTGTTCTACAAGCAAGACGAGTGGGTGACTGTTGGGTATGTTCTACAAGCAAGACGAGTGGGTGACTGTTGGGTGTGTTCTACAAGCAAGACGAGTGGATGACTGACTGGAGTGTTGGTGAAAGCTTCACTCGAGGTGATGGGTGAGGTTCGCCCGAGAATCTTCTGCTTGTAGTATGGAGTCCGCAGTTGGATTTGCCTGCAAGTAGATATGGAAATAATATTTGAAGTTTTTTCTATAATATTTAATGTAAAACAGTTTACGTTAATAATTTTTTTAAATAATAAGAAGCTCATAGAATGAAAAAATACATTGAGATTTAAAAATTAAATTTTAAAAGCATTTTACTAATTAACCAAACTAGTGTGACACTCTTGGCACTGTCCCCCAGTAGCATCCACAACACCATAACAATGGATAAATCTTGTTCAAAGACTTGATAACTCTGCAGACAAACACAGTCGGATGGTAGACTTCACTGAACCCGACGTATCCCTGGTAAGTATAAGTAATTATCAAAGACAGTCCCAGGCCGCGTGGAAGAAGATATACCACCGTTCTCTTACCTATCAACAGACAAACGTTAAAAGAAACATATCCAGAATTCTGACTCCAAATGTTAAGCGGGACAGAAATGTTTGGGCGCGTTTCGTATCACCTAATGCATCTGTTCACCATGAAATAAATTGGTACACAGAAGTTAGTCAGCTTGTTGTAGGGTTGCATCCTGGGGAGGGTCATCAGCTCGGCACCTGAGCTACACGTTTACACTCACCCAATCTCAACCTCACCTCTACATGTGTATATATCTCCATTACCATACCTGCTACACCTCTTCCTGTGTATATATCTCCATTACCATACCTGCTACACCTCTACCTGGGTATATATCTCCATTACCATACCTGCTACACCTCTACCTATGTATATATCTCCATTACCATACCTGCTACACCTCTACCTGGGTATATATCTCCATTACCATACCTGCTACACCTCTATCTGGGTATATATCTCCATTACCATACCTGCTACACCGCTATCTGTGTATATATCTCCATTACCATACCTGCTACACCTATACATGTGTATATATCTCCATTACCATACCTGCTACACCTCTACCTGGGTATATATCTCCATTACCATACCTGCTACACCTCTATCTGGTTATATATCTCCATTACCATACCTGCTACACCGCTATCTGTGTATATATCTCCATTACCATACCTGCTACACCTCTACCTGGGTATATATCTCCATTACCATACCTGCTACATCTCTACCTGGGTATATATCTCCATTACCATACCTGCTACACCTCTACCTGGGTATATATCTCCATTACCATACCTGCTACACCGCTATCTGTGTATATATCTCCATTACCATACCTGCTACATCTCTACCTGTGTATATATCTCCATTACCATACCTGCTACATCTCTACCTGGGTATATATCTCCATTACCATACCTGCTACACCTCTATCTGTATACATATCTCCATTAACGTCTCTCTCTCTCTTAGAGGTTATGGATCTCTTGAAGCTCTTCTGCTTCCGGACAGTAATCGAGGACGCAGCCGGCGTTTCCCCTCTAGATTAATTTGACAGTTGAGAGGCGAGCCGAAAGAGCAGAGCTCAACCCCCGCAAGCACAATTAGGTGAATACATAAACACACACACACACACACACACACACACACACACACACAGAGTGGTTGACAAATAGAATGCATTAGGGAGTGATGTGGTGGAGGCTGACTCCATACACAGTTTCAAGTGTAGATATGATAGAGCCCAATAGGCTCAGGAACATGTACACCTGTTGATTGACGGTTGAGAGGCGGGACCAAAGAGCTAAAGCTAAACCCCCGCAAGCACAGCTAGGTGAGTACACACACACACACAAGCGCAGGGAGAGAGGAGTAAACCAGGAAATCGCAGCCCCCAACACAACAGTCCCAGGTATAAGTGGGGAACCCACAACCAGCATCCCAGCAACACCAGAAGGGAGATCAACACCACCACTCCCCTCTGCATAGAAATCCTCCCTTCCCCTCACCCTACCTGCCCCCACCCAAATGCTCACCCAACCCTCCCTCCCCCCACCCCATTCTGACCCTATAACCCCTCCCCCATTCCCAATATGTCACCCCTCCTGCCTTCCCCCCCCCTGTTCCCCTCTCCCCCTTCATCCAATACCCTCCCTATCCCTCCTCCCCTTCACCCCGTATCCTCCATGTCCCCCCCTATCTCCTTAACCCACACCCTACCTGTCCCCCCTTCCCTTGCACTCCCACCCCCACCCCAAAATCCTCTGAGACCCTGCAAACCACTTCACAGATCTTCTCACCCAGGGAACAGCTTTTCCCACCGGCAGAATGCTCGCCAAGAAGGGGACTAGAAAATGAACAGAAGAAAGTGAGCTTCAAGGCAATGTACACTAACATAGATGGGATTACAAATAAAACAAGTGAACTCGGAGAATGGGCACCTAGAAGAAAACCCAGACATAATAGCACTTACAAAAACAAAGCTAACGAAAACTATAACAAACGCATATACAGATTGCTCAAAACAGGGGAGAGGGGATTACCCATCGCCATGCCAAATGTTTGTTTATAAAATGAATCATTAAAGCTGAAATAATTATCTTTAATGCACAATTTTGTAAGTTCAATAATGGTGTTAGTTGGCAAAGTTAAATTATACCTTGGGAGTATATGGCATATACTCTGTGGCATATAGACTTTCCAAATGGCTTGTCCAAGTCTTGTCTCCAGTAGTAGGTTCCATTTCCAACTCACACATAACAAACAACTTGGACTTGGTTAACAAGTTGTCTAGTTTGAAATTAAATTATGATTTTAAACTTGTGAGTTTTGATGTGACGGCTCTGTTCAATAGGGTTCCTGTTGATGATCTGTTGTCATTCTTACGGGATCTACTCCCAAGGTATAATTTAACTTTACCTACTAACACCATTATTTAACTTACAAAATTGTGCATTTAAAGATAATTATTTCAGCTTTAATGATTCATTTTATAAACAAACATTTGGCATGGCGATGGGTAATCCCCTCTCCCCTGTTTTAAGCAATCTGTACATGGAATGTTTCGAAACAAATATCCTTCCCAGGATTTTACCCTCAAATTTGCTTTGGTACAGGTACGTTGACGATATTTTACGCCTGTGGCCGGTTAACCATGACGAAACTGATTTTCTCAATCAAATTAATTCGCTGGTTCCGTCAATTAAATTTACAATTGAGAACGAAGTGAATGGTGTTCTGCCTTTTATAGACATCATGATTTATAGAATTGGTAGGAGTTTCAAATTCAGTGTGCATAGGAAACCTACCAATGTGTGCTCGTATGTACATTTCTATTCAAATCATCATGTTCAGGTCAAGCGGGCAGTTTTTTCTGGTATGTTTCTCAGAGCACTGAGAGTTTGCAGTCCGGAATTTTTCGATGAAGAAATAGCAAATATATTTGAAATTGGGAAGAAGTTAAAATACCCAAAATCGATCTTGGATCTTGCGTTTGGTCAAGCAAAAAGGACTTTCTACAAACAGACTACTAAGTCTTAACCAGAACTGAAAAATTCGTTGGTATTACCATATTCTGAGGGTCTAGTAAATCTTGCCCCAGCCCTGAAGAACTTTAATATTAATCTAGTGTTCAAAAATGATAATACACTTAAGTCCATGTTAATTAAGAACTCGCCCTCGTCTGTGGCAGATTGTGTGTATTCCATCCCTTGTAATGAGTGTGCATGTGTTTACATCGGCCAGACAGGTAAATCTCTTTCCTCGCGTTTAAAACAGCATTCATATGCTATTCGTACAGCCCAGCAATCCAGTGCATTGTATTTACATTCCAGTTTATGTAATCATTCTATCGACTTCACAGGGGCAAAATGTATTGTTAAAAGTAAGGATTTTGTTGAACGAAACATGATCGAGTCTGCTCTGATCAAACATTGTAACAACAGCCTTAATGTGAGCCCCGGTATGTACAAGTTGGATCCCTATTTAAGCCTCAATATAGCACGTCAAAACAATATAGCAATCATTTAACACGTATTGTGGGACATTTGGGACTTGACTCTATTTATTTAATTATTGAAGTAATGAAAATAATTACAAAGGACCACCCGCTTTTATAGTAAAGAGGGAAACTAATAAAATGTGATCATTTGAAATTCCTAGAGGAACCAGTAACTATGGATAAATACTAGAAATTATAATCACTTGAATAATTAATGGGCTGTATAAATAATTTACTTGAATCAAAGCCTCAAACACCTACATTGGGGGGTTATTGCTAGAACTTCATATATGTCTAGGAACTAATGCGGTTCGTACATTAGTTCATTGTGCAGGCGATGAGTCACAATAACGTGGCTGAAGTATGTTGACCAGACCACACACTAGAAATTGAAGGGACGACGACGTTTCGGTCCGTCCTGGACCATTCTCGAATCGACTTGAGAATGGTCCAGGACGGACCGAAACGTCGTCGTCCCTTCAATTTCTAGTGTGTGGTCTGGTCAACAGTTCATTGTGTAATAACCTAATCCTATGACCAATTAGAGAATCAATAGGGTATTTGTCACCAACAAGAATATAGATTATGAACATCAGAAATTAATGATTATAATAAACACGTGTTAAATCTAGTGCACAGTGATCAATAGTGATAATCCAATACAGATAATTTGAATAATTAAAATACGGAAAAAGGTCTTAGCTTGAAGACGTTTTCCAAGACATCAATCATGAATCATCCTCGGAATCTCCGGAATTCTTCATGGAACACTGGGAGATGAATAACACGGGTAAAGTAACAGGTCAGGAAATACCTCACACGTAAGCTGTAAATTAAGATATATTACGTAGCAACATATTAGGCTACTAAATATCTATATTCAAGAAATTGGGAATGGCGAGTAATAAATATACTAACATGTATTTTATTTATGTCGCTCGGCATGACGACAAGCTACCCTGCTGTAAACAATCTCTAATGATGCATCAAAAGGGAATATGTGTACTTAGCTAATAGGGCACTGTATAAGTTGAAGCTTGCCGAAACTCGCGTCCCAGGCTCTAGCGTCGCAATGGCGAACACGTGGTGGCTAGCTTGGCCTAGATGTCGACGCGCTTCTCTGGCCGGTCACGATGGATTACACGGAACAAATTGACAAGTTCCGGGCTGAATGTCAAGTTAATTCTTGTTGACGATTCACCACAATGTATCCTATGACACTGACACCAAACGAGTTGCTCAATTCCGCAACAAGTCTGCACACCGCACTTTGGCGCCTTTCCTCTAACACCGACGCCTCCACACCCTCTCCGATTAATGGCGTCTCTCCCTGCCCCGCTCCGCGTCCCGCATGTGCTACACAAATTATTTACTACTAATAATATTATTTCTCGCAGTTGCGGCTAAAATGCTTGGATAATGACGGGTTTATAATTCTAGGGAGCTAAATATTATTACTTGCTCGGTTTACGATGTTAAATGAGCAATGGAGGATGATTTTAATTCTCTCCATGGCATTCACGTGTGACGTTAAATTTATTACCAGATAACAGTTGTAACTAGAAACGCTCGATTTGGCATTATTTGGGAGTCAGGTTATCGGTAAATAATTATCACACAGAACACTGTTGTTTTTAGAGAATCAAACTCAATTCTCTGACACACTGGATATAAATGTGTTTATTTTGGTAGAATCTGAGGCAATACTGGTGTTTGGTTACGTAAGAATTCTAGCATTATTGTACAGATACAATTATTAGTTCATGTGAACTCTACGGTTGGTAAATTTTAGTTACTACAGTAATTAGTAGATTTTAGTAATAATTAATAATAATACAACAGTGTTGTATTATGTTGGAAATTTCCAACATAACTCCGGGGGGAGATTTATCGGGTCGCAGTGTAATGTTGAGTACTGACATACCCATCCTGAAGTTGGTATTTATATTAGTATATTAGTATGTTAGTACACACATAACGAATGTCCCGTATTTGTCAAGGACATACAAGAAACTTAAGTCTTGCAGATTTCATGTTAAATGGAACATGCTATTATGAATTACCTAAAGCTAATAACTAAGAAGGCTTACAATAAACTCTGTGACTGGTGTCGTTATGACATATAATGTTTATGTTACTAAGTCTCAAAGTCTGTAAACTCTCAGATACTCTAGACAAATAATGTTATTTATAGCCTATACAACAATTAAGAATTTAAATCACACAATTCAAATAACTGAGAATCTACTGTGATAAGAATGTCTTGGGTCGTAGTGACTTGTAATGATTTGTTACTTGACATCACACCACAGTATCATCATGGTTACTTAAATTGGATGGAAAGGGATTTGCTCTTGGTCAGAGCTGTAATAGGCTTGCAGTTTCCGCTTGCATTGTTGAGCAGCAGCTCTAGTGGGGCGGTTGCTCGGTGGATCAGAATTACTGTCCTCGGAAACTACTGGTGAAGCTGGTTCTGGCAAACACTCTCGTTCTGCTAATTCGAGAGGTACCAACTTCTTTAAAGTTTTTAGGGTAGTGTTGCCTCGGCATAAAACTTTCACTACTCTCAGGATACCTTGATGATCTGGATAGATGGCAACAATTTTGCCTATGGGCCACTCCGAC